TTACCCTGGCTCAGTTACGGTCTGGATACAGTAGCCGCCCAACAGCTACGTGTTCAGACTCGACCCCAATATACCCAAAGAGTGCCCGGCATGTCGAGACTCTCCGCACGACACCAACGACCTCTTCACATGCCAGCTCAATCCTACTCAGCTGACCTCCCTCTCCCTTTGGTCCGACCCTACTGAAACAGCCCGTTTCCTGGGCCTACACCAAATAGCGAAATAAAGAACGATTTGTGAGAGCCCCAAAAATATAAATTTATTGTTAAAGTGTTTGACACGGTGAGTATACACCAGCGCTGTAGAAGAAGCACCGGACAGCTAAAACGCTTGGCTTTGGTCAGATTTTTCCATTCAGGTTTGTTATAAATATTTGATTGAGTTGTCTTTAAATAGGGCTTACTGATTGTTCTTAATAAAAATGCGATTTTTTATTTATTATTGCATCTTTCTAAAATTTTCTAAATATTTGTATATATTTCTGATGTATTGTGGAACGATTTTGTCTCTAAACCAAATTTGACAAGGGTGACGGAAAATCGTTCCACAATATATCATACTCCTACCCTGTCGGAAACACAAACAACCAAAAAGAAGATATATATTTATCTTTCTTGATTTTGCAAAATATGTCACTGTTGCTTAGTATGGTTGAAAACGGGTTAGAAATCGGATTATAAGTTGGGTGAATTTCGTACAGATTGAGAATATATAGGACCAGGTGTGAGGTGCAATAACAAATGCTTTGGAATAATCTAAAAAAACAAGCATTGTATTATATGATTGCTGAAGCATCTTCGAGTCAATAAGTTGTTGTTATTTGCAATAGGGGTATTCACAACCCGTTGCATACGGTGCATAGATAGCATAAATAGCACGATTGGATAATTTTGTTGTTGTTTCATGTGTTCAAACAACAACAACATTAGCCAATCATGCTGTTTATGCTTTCTATGCACCATGCTAGACAGTATGCACCGGATCGTGAATAATAAAAAACTCTGCTATGGGTTCTGCCTAAATATTTTTTTATCATGGAATTAACTATTTATATTTGCAATTTCCAGAACTTAATGACGGAGTTGGAAAGACGAGAAGTTCATTTCGCTACTATACTTGATCGAGGTGAAGCTTTACTGAACCAACAACACCCTGCTGCCAAATGCATTGAGGCACACTTAACTGTTCTGCAACAACAATGGGCATGGCTTTTGCAGCTAACTCTATGCTTAGAGGTTCATCTTAAACATGCTACTGAGTACCATCAATTCTTTTCCGAAATTAAGGACGCTGAACAATGGCTTAATAAACGTGACGAGATTCTCAATAGTAAATATTCCCAGTCTGACTTTTCATTGGATCAAGGTGAAAACTTGCTACGCGGGATGCAGGATTTGCGAGAAGAGTTAAATACATTCGGAGAAACTGTTCTAAATATCCAACAGCGTGCTTTAGCAATTGTACCTCTAAGTAAACGACGGCAACCTGTAAGCTCTCCGTACACAGTTCAGGCTATTTGTGGGTATAAGCAACAAGGACACATCCAAGTAGAGAAGGGAGAAAAATGTTCACTTTTGGATAATTCTGGCCGTGTTAAATGGCGAATACGGTCATCCACTGGTCAGGAAGGCTCTATTCCTAGTGCTTGTTTACTTATAACCCCACCTGACCAAGAAGCGGTTGATTCTGCAGAGCGACTAAAACGCTTGTTTGATCGCACAGTTAGTTTATGGCAAAAGAAACATTTGAGACTTCGTCAAAATATGATTTTTGCTACTATCCGTGTTGTAAAAAGCTGGGACTTCGATCAATTTTTGGCTATGGGCTCAGACCAGCGGTCCGCTATACGCCGCGCCTTAAATGAGGATGCTGAAAAGCTGCTCAGTGAAGGGGATTCGAACGACCCGCAGCTAAGACGTCTAAGGCGAGAAATGGACGATGTTAACCGTTTATTTGATGAATTTGAAAAACGCGCCAACGCTGAAGGTAAGCTTGTAAATGTTTATTTTGTTTACCGCTTAAACTATCTAGTTCCCAATAAAAATGGGTTGTTGAGTCCAAAAAACTCCACCAAGCATGCATATCTAAAAAACCGATCGATGAATCGGTTATATTTTAAAAATTCGTTAACCAAGAGCCAAAGACAAAACACAATCGTTATGTAGATTTTTGCGGACACCATAATATTTTTTCCCTTTTGAATATTTTTTCATAATAATTTAATGGTTACAATAGGCTGCAGCTTTTGTGACGGAAATTTAAAATTATAAAATAGCAACTAGGTTAAGTTAGGTTGAGATGGCTAGAGAGAGTGACCTCTCCTTACACTTAGGCCAGGAAAGGCCCATTACGATACCATATGCAATCTATGTTCTCCTATGATGTTGCGGCGCTTACTCGGGATCAAACCAGTTCGTTAACGTGTTAAATTTCGATAGCGTTCTAATATTGATTTTCGATACCTCTGCGAGGCCTTATAGAGAGGGCTTTCCGAGCGTCTGAAGCCGTCTTCTGCTGACTGCTGGACACTCGCATATAAGGTGGCTGCGACAGTAGGCTGGCGCGTTCACTCCCAATTGTGAGGCTTGTGAGGCATGTGTACCTTTTAGACAGCGACCTATAAGAATTATTGTGAGAATAGATATCTTGGTAAGTTTTAACCCTAAGAGTGCAGTCGTGCGTTTTTTATCGTAGGAAGGCCATGTATGCTTGGCCGTTCCACAGAAGGAGAGAATTCTCCAGCGTTCGTTTGCTGCTTGTATGGTTCTGTTCCTCGCATGTAGTGTAATGGTATGCCTACCTTGTTCTTCCCCGGAAGGATGGGGGTGTGGTCTTACCATTCCTCGCCAGTTCGCCAGCTTTGCACATGCCCTCAATATCTCAGTGTCCAGGGGCCCATATGAGTTGTATTCTATAATGCTGTGCTTTAGAGATCTGCTGAATTAAGTGAGAGACATTGTGTCTAGTCTACGCATGAGTCTAGAGCTTTCAGGGCTGCTTGACTGTCAGAGAAGATAAATACCTGTCTTTTCTCTTCGGGTGTTCGTGCTAGGTGCCGAGAGGCCTTCCGGATAGCCAGCACCTCCGCCTGGTATACACTGCAGTGGTCGGGAAGGCGACAATATGTTTTCAGTTCCAGCTCTGGGGAGAAGACTGCTCCCCCGACCTTTCCGTCGAGTTTGTAGCCTTCAATGTACATGTTTATAGCGTTGTGTATATGGTGAGGCCTCGTGTCTCAGACCTTTCGAGATGGTATGGTAATTATATAGTTTTTTTGTGAAGGTATTTGATGGTATGCAGTAGTCAGTACTTGCAGGTATCAGTATGGGCGCCCTTGTCCGTCCCTAGGATTATCGAATTGCCTGATGGACCATAAGTCCAGGAGCCTGCCTATCTAAGTCTTAAGGCTGCAATAATGGCTGTTTCCCGAGCTACTAAATCAAGCGGCGCAGATGTAGGACTGCGTTAAGAGCTTCGGTCGGGGAGGAACAAAGAGCTCCACTTATGCATAGCTCAGCACTCCTTTGTACCGTTTGATGTTGCTTGAGCCCTGATGTCTTATCAACGGAAGGCCACCATACTAAGGCTCCGTAAACAGAATCGGGTGAACAGTGGCAGTGTAGATCCAGTGAACCATCTTAGGTGAGAAGCCCCACGGTGCAAGACCCGGTACTTTGCATCGCCTGGTAAAAAGGACTAGCTGAGTTTTAGCTGGGTTAACCTAAGCAACTAATTTTCGTTGAAAATATAGGAAACCAATAAAAACGGTTAATTTATGATTTTACTAAATTTGGCACAGCTGCAATGCAGAATGATGAGCTTATCGCTCGACAAGTTCATTGCGAAATCTCATGTGGATAAGGTTTTGACAGTCCTTCTGCTAAAATTTTTGATGTGACCTGTAGTTATATGCTTCTTCCGAACGACATGTTTTTTTTTTGTTTTTCTAAGCAGAAATATATTCGTCGGATTGTCATTATGTTCTGGGGGAGACCCTTTGCGGGTGTTCGCGCGCACCTCCAATCCCTCGGCCACGGCCGCCATAGGTTTTTTTTAACTTTCAAACTGAATAGCATTGCCAAACTTAAAACGGTCCCTAATCTTTATGATGTTATATATTTGCTTATTAATCGACGACTACCTTAATTTTCTTTTGATCAACTTAACTTTATTGTGAGTTATATATTTTATAGCCTGTTCGTTTCTCAGCATTTTCTCTGGTTGGTTTGTTTGTTCCTTTTACAACACGTCGCCCTCTCGCCCGACAAACATGCAACATTTTCTGCCTTTGTTAAGGGAAAAATTTCTGTCTGCAATGCAAACTTGTTTGGTATTTTTGTAAAGAAAATTTATCCAATAAACAGAATTGAACTGAAATTTCCCTATAAAATAAATTACACTGTGAGACAAATGGTAGGAGTCAGTGATCGGGAAGGGTTCAAACTACCGGGGAAAGTTATATCGGTAAAAAAAAAGTTATACGTGTCCCGGCGTTTCGCTGGGTCACGTCTATGAATCGAGATATATCGATTTGAAGTTAGTAACTATCATATAGGGGAAATTGTCACCTTTTGTGGTCTTTTTTTTGACATAACTCGAGAACCACTAGTCCGATTTTGCTCAAGCAAATTTAAAAAAATTAAAAATTACAATTCCTTTAATCTGTTCATATAACGTTTTTCTATATAATCAACAGTTTTGCCGGTAAAAATAAATGTATGAAGAAAAAAAATATTTTTTGCCTAAAATATTAAATTTTTTTATTTTTTAAATTCATAAAAAATCCAAAACGGAAAAAAGGCAAGTCGTATTACTTTCACGCAAAGTCACATATCCTTTAAGCAAAATGAGACATAGATCATGAAAATCGATGGACGCGTTTCGCTTTTATTCACAATTAAGTGAAGGTATCTCATTTTGACAAGAATATTGATTTTATGTTTCAATGAGTTTGGATAATATTTATTATTAACACGTAAAATTAAAAATTATTACAGGTAATTATTAGGTTATTACATAGATACATAGGTTATAAAAATCGATGAACGCAAAACTTATTTTCGTTTGTTTGCGCCCTTTACTTTCTTGCGTGGTGGTTCGCCCACTTGTTCAGAGTCTGTATCGGATGAGGATCTGTCTTCATCTGGAAAAAATCAATTGCTTTTAATCAGTCAGTTAACTTCATTTTTGTGACTTACCCTCGGAGGAAACTCCCATTGTATATTCTTCTTCTTCATCTTCATTGTCGGGATCGTACGTCTTTTGCGACCACCAACAAATTTCAGCCACCAGCGAATCGAGCCTTTTGCCTTTATATCGCGTTTCCATTGGCATTGCCACTTGATGGAAGCGCTCGCCATGTTCATCCGACTCTGAGGCTAGCTGCTTGCTGAAGTATTCGAGATGGTGATGCAAGAAGTGAATTTTGAGGGACATATTCACTCCAATTTTCTGGAAGTAGTGCAACATCTTGGTCACAAGAGCGGGGTAATTGTGTGCTCGCGTACTTCCCAAAAAATATCGTATGACTTTCTTCACTGCCTTCCACGCAAAGTAATCATTACCGTCTAAAGCACCTTTAAATTCCTTTGATTTCATGAGGTTTCGTATATCCGGCCCATTCAGAACACCTTCCTTCAATTTTGCTTCGCTGATTGGTGGGAAAATATTTTTCAAACAATCAAGAATTTTCGGTTGCTTCACGATGGCCTTGATGAAATTTTTTACGATTCCCAGTTTGATATGGAGAGGGGGCATGAGGATGTTCTCCATTGGCACTAGTGGATCATTTACGCAGTTGTGTCCTTTCTCCGTTGGATCTCGAGCAAGCCAGTCATGCGTTTCGTATTGGTTTCCTTTAAATCGGGTATCCCAAAGACACAAGAAACACATGTTTTTTGTATAGCCTCCTTGGAGACCTCTTAGCATCGCCACGACTTTCAGATCACAACTAATCCGCCACATGTGATCAGTGTAGCAAACTTTATCCAAAATTATTTTCATGGAATTGTATGTTTCGCTCATGTCTGTGCTGTAGCCAATGGGAATACTTGGTTTTTTTTATTATATTTATGTAGCAAAACAACTTTCAGGCTTGATTTCGAAGAATCGATGAACATTCGCCAATCAGCTGCGATATAATTAATGGCCATCGCCTCCATCAGTCCCTTTATATCATGGCAGTAAACAAATGTGTTCCCTTCGTTGAGTGTGTAGTACCGTTGGAATAGCAATTGTCGCCTTCGATATCCGGCGACTTTGACATTAGGCTCCAAATTGTTGCCTTCTTTCAAAAGCTGGGCAAGTTTTTCTGCTTCACGTTGAGAAAGGTTTAATTCTGCAACAATCTTGTCCATTCTTGCTTGTGATATTGGAATTATTTTGTTCGATGGGCCGGCTTCTGGTGTTGGTTTATAGGTGAAATCCGATTGATCCATTGTTTCAATATAAAAAGAAGTTTCTCTGTCAGGACTTGGAAGCGGTGGAATGGTATTTCATCCGAATGCGTTAGAGGTATTTGTGCACTTTTAACAGATATGTAAACTCTTCGTTTAAGGCCTTTACGATTTACTCCACATATTTTGTTTGCGCAAGCGTGACAGTTGTCGGAATTGTGCTCTCCTGTATCAGTCCAAATCATTGGTACACCAAAACGAAGTGAACTGCGTTTCCCTTGGATCCACCTGTTAAGACCATTGTAACACATTTTACAAATTTTGTCGGGGCCCACGAAACGCCGCGAATTATTTCGGAATCAAAATAAAGTTTAAAAGCGCGCTCCACTTGCTCAGTGAGTAATGCAGTATTTGTTGAAAAAGCTCTTTTGCTACAAACGTAACAAAATAAATTGATATTTTCTGGACAATTTGCACTCATTTCGGTTTTATACTTTTATTACTTTTTCGTCACTTTAAAAAAATCGTACTTTACGCGTTCGGAGACAATTGTTGAATGACAAAAATCGATCAATGAACACCTATAAATACTACGTAAGTTTCAATATTTTACTGAGAGGTACTTATGAATTGGCGCATCTTTTAAGGGTGGCTATATACCTGATTCGTGTGCGTTTTAAATTTTTCGAAGCGTTCTACCACTCATAAATGTGTGTGCAATTTGTGTAAAAAAATCATGCAGGTAGCCAACGGAAAAAACCCAAATAATTAAAAAAGTGCACTTTCATTTTTTCCTTTTAATTGTCCACGCACATTTATGACCGTTTTTTAGTTTGTTACCGCTACCATAAAAATCAAATAACCTTTTGTTTATTACTTTTTTTTTAATTCTGACAATCATAAAAAAAGTCATCAATGTTTTTTCCAAAGAATTTTGAGCATATCTCGAGCAAATTTTTGAAATTCATACCTTTACTTAATTTTGAATAAAAGCGAAACGCATACATTGATTTTCATGATGTATGTCTCATTTTGTTCATAGGTTATGTGACTTTACGTGACACTTTTTTCCGTTTTGGATTTTTTATGAATTTAAAAAAAAATTTTAATTTTTAGGGAAAAATAAACGTTATATTAACAGATTAAAGGAATTGTAATTTTTAATTTTTTAAATTTGTTTGAGCAAAATCAGACCAGTGGTTCTCGAGTTATGTAAAAAAAAAGACCACCAAAGGTGACAATTTCCCCTATATGATAGTTACTAACTTCAAATCGATATATCTCGATTCCTAGACGTGACCCAGCGAAACGCCGGGCCACGTATAACTTGTTTTTGACCGATATAACATTTCCCGTTGGTTTCATCCCATCCCGATTTTGACTGTCGCATAGTGTTATATGCCCCCAGGAAGCCACTAAAGGTAACCAATTAAATATTACGAATTTTATTCAGAGCATAGCCATGCGAAAAAACTCAAAAACATATATCGTGTATATAAATTTAAAAATCACCGCAATTTAAAATTTTTAGAGTTTTGATAATTTTGAATTTCCTGAAGTTTCCCATTTTAAATAACTTGAGTGGAATTCCAAAATTTTCTAAACTTTCAAAACTTTGTGAATTTGAGAAATTTTAGTAAATCACAATAATTCAATATAATGATGAATACTACATTTCTACATTTTTTTATTTTTCAAAAGTTTTGAGAATTGTAAGAATTTTAACCATTTTTTTCTAAGTAAAAGTGCCGAACATACAAAACTGATCAAACGAAAGTAAAAGTTTTCGAATGTTGAAAACATTTTCATATTTCGTCGTTTCGAATTTTCGTAATTCTTGGATTCAAAAAATTTTTGGACGTTTTCAAAATTTTCAAAAAATTTTAAATTCTCAAACTTTGTTATATCAATACAAAATTTTGGAAAAGTTCAGACAAGTGAAAAAAATTTTGGAATTTTTCAAAAATGTTAATATCTTTTAGAATTCTAAGAATTTCCTATTTTTTACACACAAGTACCATGAACATAAGAATTTTTCGACAATTTGTGATGTTTCACATTTTCACATTTTAGGATGGATTTTAGGATAAATAAAATTATCAAAATTTTGGAAATTATAAAAATTTCTAAAATGTCAATCTTGTACATTTCAAAATATTCTCATTTTACCAAAATTTCTAGAATCTCCCGGATTTCGATAGCTTTTGAAATTTTGGAAATTACCCTAAAAATAAGAAATCTCAAGAAATGTATTATAAAATTCATTTTGGAATTTTCGTTTTCTGATCCTGTGAAAATATTCAAACTTGCTGTGACTTTGAACTGTGTAAAATAATACAAATTCGAAAATATTACCAAAAAAGTAAAAATTGAAAATTAAGTATATAATTTCAAAATTTTTAAAATTCAGTGAATTCGAAAAACTGATAGGCCTACTTAAATAACATAATACGAGCTTAGCACACAGCTAAAATTTCAAACTCAAGTGAAATTTTACACACTTTTTCAATGAATTAAAATTTTCAAAAACATCCATTCTTTAGGTTTGTTTCCCAAGCTTCTCGAAGTCACGTCGAGTTACATATACGCGCTCCGCAAGTAAGTTTTTGAGTTTCTTTGATATACACTCAAAGTTTGAACTTTGCTCGAGTTTTTCTACAAGTAGCTTGTGGGACAAACCTATTATATATTCTTGTAATGATATTTCCCTACCTGGGTCCGCCACTGGTTCGCTATGATTCAAAATGGAAGCATAAACCAAAAAAAATATATTTAAATGTGAATGAGTGCGGACGTGTTTTTATGTTCGCTCCGTAGTCATTAAATATTGTGCTAATTTAATAAAACAAAAAAAAAAAAAAAAAAAAAAAAAAACAAAAAAAAAACAGAAAGCGATGAGTCAAGCTGAAATCCGAGCTCAGAAGCAACGCGAGCAAAATGAGCGCCGGCTTTCAGTTCAACGCAACAACGCATATTTCTCTATTCGGTCCCAGAGTGACAGCGAAAGCGCAAAGCCCAATCCATCGACCACCCTCAAACCCCCTCAAGATTCAGATCAGCGGACTTTTCCTCCAAACTTACTATTGACGACTCCGATGTCTTGGAGTGAAGAGTGCGCTTCACCTGTGCCGTATCACATTTCACGCCCAACGCTTACATCAAATTCGGTAAGCGATAACATATCCCCAAATATTATGGCAACAACAACTAGTACAGTGACATGTTCTACTACCTCTATCGTGCAAACAACAACAACAAACACACCGGTACCTGCCGACTGCACAGCGGTGCCAACAAGCCGGCCTATTCTTGCTGCACAAGCACAACTTAACTTGAGTGCAAGCACTGGCAACAAAGGTTAAGCGCAAGAAAAGTTGAAAAACGAAACAACTAAAAATGCGGCCATACAGACTGGAATGGACCGCTATGTTACAATAAAAAGAAAACTTAGTCCGCAAAATTCAACGGGCAGTAAGACAAAAATAAACCGCCTTACCTCAACTCAGCAAGTCAGTACGAATAGATTTGCACTGCTAAGTGACAATGCCGATGATGTGAATAGCCAAATTTCTGAAGGTGCTGCAAAAGCTACTAATGCCAAACCTCCGCCCATTTTTATAAGAGAAGAGAATCCAAGCGCTCTTGTAAAAAAATTCACACAGCTAATCGGTAGTAATAAGTTTCATATTATCCCACTATCTAAGGGAAATATTCGCGAAACTAAAGTACAAATTTATTCCGAACAGGATTTTCGAACAGTGTCCAAATACCTGAATGACACAAACACAAAATTTTATACATACCAACTTAAAAGTGCAAAAGGTCTACAAATTGTAATTAAAGGTATCGAACCAAGCGTTGATGCTGTGGAAGTTTTGGAAGCACTTAAAGAACATGGTTTCAATCCAAAAGCTGCTGTGAATATTTTTAATAGGAACAAAATCCCTCACCCTATGTTTAAAGTTGAGCTCGAGCCTGAAAACAAACCTCTGGGCAAAAACGATGTGCATCCAATTTATAAATTGCAATATCTGCTGCATCGTAGGATAACTGTGGAAGAACCGCATAAGAGAAATGGCCCTGTACGATGCACCAACTGCCAGGAGTATGGTCATACTAGGTCTTACTGCACGCTTCGCTC